TTTAGCAATGTGGCATTATGGTAGACATACCGCGGTGCGCCTCGAGCATCTCCCTCCTCTAACACCAATACTGTCAGACGTGAAATCAGCTCCCTTGCTCACGAGCCTCCCGGGGCAGAGTGCTTCTTACGTGTCAACTCCCGCGGTGGAGGGAGAGTGTTTGGGGGTCCTCCTTCGGGAGGGGGGGGGCAGTTGGGGAGAGCAGGCCTGCATGCAGAGTGGTTAGGGGCAATCAAGCAGGCAAGCAGGTGAGCTGTTAGGAGCCAGCAGTCCCGGATGGTGAGAGGGATGTCCCAGATTGGGGAGGATGCAGGCCGGGCTGAGAGAGAGAGAGAGAGAGAGAGAGAGAGAGAGAGAGACACACACACACACACACACACACACACCATGCACGAATTTCGTGCACTGGGCCACTAGTATACATTATAAGAATTCAAAACAGCACTAACAGAAGAAGCAAGACATGATATGAGATGGACTTGAAGGACAGACTTCTGACAGATATAAAGGAAAAGGCATTCCAGTTTCAGAGGTGAGGGGAGGAAGCAGTATGAACTCGAGCCCATTTGCAAAACAGCAATAATCCCATTTGACTAAACATTAGGATCTAATTATGGGCCAAGGAAGATGAGCTGGCAAAAGGAACTTGGCACCATTTAGTAGAAGGACCTGAGTGTGTCTCCTTAACCTGGTAGGCAAAGCGGGGTGGAAGGGATTAATAAAAGACACTTAGAAGTGGATAAATCAACAAGACAGCAGGATGCTTGGAAAGATTAATCTGTCAACTGGTATGCCAGACCAACTGGAAAAGGAAAAGATCATAAAGGCAGTAACAGTTGTGTGAGGTAACAGGAGCCTGAGAAATATGTAAAAACCTCTACTGCATTTTTACACAGGGGGCAAGGGGTGGAAGAGGGTATGAGAGGGCTAGATGGTGATGGACAGAGACTTGACTTGGGGTGATGAACAGTTACAGAATTGTGTACCTGAAAGCCTGTGTAATTTTGTTAACCAGTGTCACCCCAATAAATTCAATTAAAAAAAAAAAAACAGCCCTAACCGGTTTGGCTCAGTGGATAGAGCGTCGGCCTTCGGACTCAAGGGTCCCAGGTTCGATTCCGGTCAAGGGCATGTACCTTGGTTGTGGGCACATCCCCAGTAGGGGGTGTGTAGGAGGCAGCTAATCAATGTTTCTCTCTCATTGATGTTTCTAACTCTCTATCCCTCTGCCTTCCTCTCTGTAAAAAAAAAAAAAAAAAACACTCTATTTTACAAAATTAAGCAAAAGTTGAAATTTAGTATGATCCCAACAAGCATCATAACTGTAATAGGGAAGACCACTCAAGTTTTTAAGATTTGCACTTTACTGGGCTGAGGAAAGAGATTCCTTCGTACTCAGACGGGTTCCACGAAGACGCGTGTCTAATTCTATGGAGTCGGGGATGAGTGTACCTTTAGCAGAGAGAGGTCAAGAATGCAACTAGCACTACAATTAACGCGGGTAAACAACTCCAGTGACTTGCACTCGACGGGGCTACAGGGAGAGATGCTTCACGCCTGCGTATGTGCCCATCATTTTCCCGAAGACTTACATACAATGTTAAGAAGTCAGTGACAAACGGAAGCGGTGTATAACACTAGTCTAGAGAGAGGCTCAACAGATATCATTACAGATAACATAAGAGAGTAGCCAGCTCACAAGGGCTTATTACAGATAGTTTGTTTTTTAATAAAGGCAACATTCCCCAATTTCCCAGAATTCCATAAGATCACAAGCTTCTACAGAAAAGGGCAGCAGAAAGCATTGGGCCAGGATTCAAGTCCATTAGCTCAGCAGACAGCGGCCAAGCCGATAAGCCGCCCGTCTCGCTGAGCTCGAGAAGCAAGAACTGATTTAAGACCAACATGACCCGACGCCTCAGGAGCTGGATACTCCAAAAGTGTGGGGACATTTCCCAGGTGCCACGTAACAAGCAGAAAGCAAGCTTCCTGCAAGGCACAAAATATGTGCCATCTGAGTGCTCAAAGCGCACGTTGACTTTTAAAAAGAAAACACGGTCGGCCCATCCATGCCTAGACCCCCACATCGCGGCCTCGGCCCTGGACGCCCCCTCCCCCAGGATCGGTCTCCAAACGGCCCTGCCGGCGGCGACCCGGGTCCTGAAGGTCCTTCTGCCAGCGGAGGTGGAGGAGCAGAGGTGACCTTCAGTGGCCGGGGCCGCCCGCCTTTCCCGGGGACACTGCCGAGGGGGCTGGGGACGAGCTCCCTTTCCCCCGAGCCCAGCCCACGCAGCCCGTGGCGCGCGGGCCTGCCCAGCAGCGGCCGCGAGACGCCCGGGTCGCCCCGGGCCTAAGGCTCCGTAGTGCAGAGGCCTCCAACGCTCCGGGGAGCTCG